TCGGGGCCGTAGTCCCGTCCCGCTCCCCGCCCGCCTCCTCGACGCCCCGCAGCGGAGCCATCCCCACCGCCGGCCCCGGAGGCCCCGCACGTGTTCCAGCCTTTAAGCACAGGGAGCCTCCCAGCTTCGGCCCCCGCGTTTGCGCCTCCCCAGCCGCCCCGGGGCTTCCCGGATGGCTCCTCCTGCTCCCGTGCTGCGCTCCCCTAACTAACCAGAGAGCCGACTCTGCCCTGCAGCTCAGTTTGGATGCTACGGCCAGCAAACCCTCAATATTCAACCCCCAAAGCCAGTGCCTTTGCTCTCCTGTCCCCCTCTTCTATTTGTAAAATTGCTATACTATTGAGTGGGAAAAAGGTAGAATTATTAACTCTTTCAAATTACTATTAATTACAAAACAGCATTTGTCTCAGCTATTTCCTAGCTTTCTAAAGCAGTCATAGCAGTCCAATGAAAACAGGCCCATTTAAAAACACACTATAAAGCTTTTAAAATAATAGAAAGCCATACCTGATTCAATGTATGATGATCTCTTCATTCAGTGATTTCTTCATTTCCAAAGAAAACGCATGCTAAAGCCCAAATCAACATCAGCCTGGGTGGTGGAGAACACGTCTAGGATAGAGTTGGTTACAGCATGTAATGATCCACTGGAATTGTCTCACACATTGATAACGTCTCATGTCTCTTTTGCATCATTTTCCCCAGTGTTCATCTGCTTTTGAGCTTGCGTGGATTAGTAAAGCACTCTCTGCACAGTAATCCTATAGGCTGGGATTCCTCTTAGCAATGCTGATCCCAAGAACCACAAAAAACCCGGTACAGCCAGAACAGTTTAAAAAGGTGTTTATGACTTTACTTCTTTACAAGAAAGTTTACATTTACAAACATCATTTACTCAGCTCCATTTGGAATGAGGCCAACGAAATAAAATGTTTCAGAGAGGCTTAATACTTGTTATGATTGGCCTGTTTCTTTGCTTCTATGCTCCCACAGTAGGGAGTCAAAAAGCTTGTTTTCCTTCTTGTTCCTGGGCTTTGTCATCGCACAGACTTGCTCTCAGGGCTTTTTACAGAGCTTATTTGTGATGCATTGGAGAGATAAGCCATCTCCAATGCATGAGTACACACCTCTGGGAGCACAACAGGGCTTGTTCCTTTTACCTTCCCCTCCTACGCTGAATCCTCGATACTGAATATTCACCAGAGGAGTAGGCAGGACTCAGCCTTCCTTGTTCATACCTCCTTAGCTGCTTTTTTCTGACTCCAAAACTCCCCCCAAAACAACTCAATGGAAAAATAGCTTCGACACCACCACTAATGTGTTGCGGAACTTCACACATATCTATTAAGCAGCACTGAGAACCTGGATATTTCAAGTGAGGGGTAACAGTTTAGCTGGAGCTTTAGATTCTGAAAAATGTCCTTCAGCTCTTACGTCCTTCTGTGGGTGTATTCAACCCTTGGGTAACTGAACCTTTAATTACTGGAGAATGAGCCACATGTAGAATGACAGCATTCATGACAAAGGCAATAAATATTACTCTGACTGAAACGCTTGCATCAGTCAACTGATGTTTGCATTGGAATGATAATTTTGGTAACAATTCATTAAACTAAACCATGGCTACCTATTATATAAAGTTGCCAACTATTTATTTCTTTTACTGGAACTCTCCCCATTTAACTGAATCCACACATTTCCAGTATTGCAGGTCTCTGTTTTCACATTTTGCAACCAGTTCTTTCATAAAATTGCATCTACTGAAAATATTATCAAATTATGAGAGAATTGAGACTACAGCTACCTGATATCCACTTATTCCCTTGCATATCCCACAGTTTGGGGCTCTAATTCATTCTTCTCTTCCTTGCACTGGGGTGATGTGAACCGAACCTGTGGTGTGATGAAATAAATTTCATCAAACCTGAAAGAAAAGGTAGATTTGGGGTTAAAATCAGCATAATGATTTTCCAAACTGTGTTGTAGCTCCTTGTAAGTATTTAATGTATTTGTTAATTCTGAGGCAGAATGCTGGGTCCCTTTCTGCAAGCCTTGGACCACCTGGCAGGTTCTTGAACACCAGAGAAACACCAACAAGATGAGTAACACACAAGATGAATGTCTGGGGAGATCAATCATATTCACATTTGGCCAGGAAATTTCTCTCCACAGAAAAGCAGGCTAATCAATAAATTTCAGGAGCCCTTTTATGCTTTCAGGATTACTATTCTCTTCTGCTGTAGCTTAGGAAACCAGACTGGGTAAGATCATATTCCATTGCCTATTCAATTTATTCGTCAATGACCTGGATGAAGGGATGGAGTGCTCCCTCAGCAAGTTTGCTGATGATACCAAACCGGGAGAAGCAGCTGATACCCCGGAGTGCTGTGTTGCCATCCAGAGGGACCAGGACTGGATAACTGGGCAGTGAGAAACCTCATGAAATTCAACAAAGACAAGTGCAAGGTCCTGCACTTAGGGAGGAATAACCCCAGACACCAG